ATGGAGGATGAGTCGGAGATAATAGGAAAAAGTGAGACTGAGCGAGGAAGACAAATAAAACTTCAATTTCTTCCGCATTTCAAGGAAAGCACTCGAAGCACACGTAAAAAAGGGGAAAAACTCAAAGTCAAGTTATTAAAGCTTTTATTGGAAATAACACACAAAAAAGAAACGCAACAAAAGACTAAAGAAAACACGACTTTAATGAGTGACTTGCAGTTATCCTATAATTAGTTTGCAAAAGAACAATTTGAATGAATAATAGAAAGAAAAAAAATAGATTTTAATAATTGAGTTTGAGTTACGTTAAGTAGAATTCGAATAATTAATACCAAACAATTTATAGAAATTGAATTAATCATTTAGATGACACCCTCAACAACTATTGTTGCAATTGTTATGCCAAAAAGTATTCGTTTTGTATATTTACATAATTCAATTCTATTTTCTTCCCCTTATCTTACTTCCTCAATTTGTTATCTACATGGAAACATTTGCCTATGCCATATTACAGGGTGTGCTAAGCCAAACGGCTGGAATGATTTGTAGAGGATTCGGGCCAGTTGGGATGCAGGGGTTATTGTTGGGGGGGCTAATGGATACTGCGAATGCGGGATGTCTGTTGTCAAGTGTTTTCGTATGCGACAGCCTGCCTGTGTTTTCCTCGAGTGCTTAGACAATCGTGTTGAAGCTTTGATTTTCGAGCTTACTTCGGATTTGGTACTGTGCTGTGCTGTGCACTGTGCACCAGACTTATGAGGGCGGATAATTAACAGCAAGAGACCAAGACACACACACACACACACATACACAGACGTTGTGGCAAATTTTTGACTAAGTAATAGTCGAACTGACAAACTGAGTGACTGTTAAAGTGTTGAAATGTCTGCGGCAGCACTTAATTAATTAATGTCAGCGTCCGTCGAACGAAATGAGAAAAGTTTTTGCACGCTGCCTGGCTGCAAAACTTGGCAGCTACTTAAGTATTTGTTAAGTCAGAGACCCAGCAAGTCTGCAAGGCGTTCAATATTTGTCAATGAACTCATTAAGCAAATTAATAGACAAAGTTACCAGCTGACAATGCCGGTCTAAAGGTTTGACGGGGGATAGAAGATGCTGGGGTCGTAAGAATTTATTTACTCTGCTGGCAATAAAATGCCAAGCAATAAAAAACCAAAAGTCAACAAACAATTGCGTGCCGCGCAGAAATCGATTATGGACGCCTTCAAGGCAGTAGCTACTGCAATCACACACACACACACACACAGAACACAATTACACACACCACAGAGCCAGCAGTCACAGCCACGTTTTCGATTTTGCCATTTCGCCAGCGACTTTGCCACCTGATGCCCCAGCGTTGAAATTGCCATCGTTGCAGTTTTGCAGCAGCCCACAAGCGGAAGTGATTTTCTCTGCCATGCACGTGTGTATTTGTGTGTGTGTGTGTGTGTGTGTGACTGTATAAATGTCCCTTGTGTGTGTTTGTGTGAGTGTGTGTGGGTGCCGGATTTTATGACCCTTGATAGTGGCAAGCGATTTGTTGCGTTGCATTTTCAATTTAGCAGCATGCACATTGGCAACTTTGAATAATGCAATTGCAAGGCACCAACTGCAGCGCGTATGTGACCTCTACCCCATCCCGTCCTCTTCACAATCCCAACCACTTCGCACAACGGCAAACTACCAAACTACCAAAACCCTTAACCCATTTTGACTGCACATTTTTGGCAGCTTATTAAGGCGCTTTCCTATTGCTACAACATTATTTTTGTAATACCCTCGCACAGAATTTTCTATTTGAATTTAGCTTGAATAATATAAGATATATATTCTTAAAGTTCTTAAATCACATCAAGGTTAATTATTATTAATTAATTTTCTTATATAGGGTCTGATTCCGATTTAAAATCTTGGCTGTGTTATTGGTCGTCTAAGAGGCCAACGACCCAAACCTGCCCAGCAACAAGGCTCTAAATTGGTTCTTAAGGATCATTCGTTTGTCGTCATTGAATGTCCAGAACAGTCGCTTGGTCCAAACCCGTTCAAAAATCACTTAAAAAAGCAGTCTCTGCTGCCAATCAATGAAAACAAATAACTTTGGCTCAGTCGAACAGTTAAAGCTAAAAGATTCTTTGACTTTTATTGCGAACAATCCAAAAACTGAATATTTACATTTGTATAATGAAATATAAAGTTCACTAAGACTTCAATCTTAGATTATCTCTTCAAATCCTTTGCAGTTTTCAATGTTTTTCCAATTACTTTTCTATTTTTTAAATTTATTTGATTCATATCTGGTATATGGCGGATCTGCTTAATGAAGTTAAGCTAATGCTTTAATCATTTTGTCAGAGTGGTTCGGCTTCGATTTTAAAGAGTAGTTAATTTTCGACTTGTTTTAAAAATATCTTCATTCCTTTTCTTTTTGTTCACCCTTTTTTTCTTGGAAAACTTTCAAACACGAGCGCACAATTTGAGCGCAGCATTCGCCATGTGGGGCAAGTTGACATATATGCAGCACGTGCACTGCTATATGCTACTCACTATGTACCCCAATCTGAACGGGGATTGATGTCCCAGACATGTACACACACACAGACACACACAAACAGCTCGTTATTGGCCAGCGAGTGCGGTTGTGTTTCAACAAAAAAAAAACATCATTGCACCATCAACTGTAAGAACAGCAAAAATGCAATTGAACTGATCGCAAACATTTTGTGGTGACTAATTAGTTTACGGTTAATTGAGCAGCATTCGCAAGGGCTCATTAACTGCCATGCGGTTATTTAATCTGTACATCTCATAAATATGAAAAAACAAAGGATAGTAGAATATTGAGAGTAAATTCTAACTAGTTTACCTGTCGTATACGTAATCAATGTTTAAAAAATATTATTGAAGACTATCGGAAAAATATATTTCCCCCACTTTCGATGTACCTTTTAACCTTTTAGTAATTTATTAAGCAACTTTATTTTACATCCTTAGTTTCAATTAGCAAACTTTATAATCTATTAGAATATTATGCTCAGTCAAAGGGGTTTTCCCCTTTTTATGTGAATCCCATGCGTAGTCCTTGTGACCGTAAGAGAATCTTTGGTTAGTTTAAACTATTCAGAGAATTCATTATGTTTTAATGAGTGTTTGCCATTCATTCATTTGCATTCGCCGCATCCGCCACATACACGCATATATATAGACTTTTTTCATTATTCTTTTAACTGTGGCCACTCGAAAAGCGTTTAATTTTCATTAATAGTCAAGTGGGTTTGCATTCGGGATTAATGCGCCATGACTGTGGCAGCTCAATCGCCATTGTTTTTGCGCCGTCCGCTTGTTAAATGCGTTAAGAGCAAATAAGAGAGAAAGAAGAAAAATGTACATGCAAAGAAAATTATGTATGGATTTTTAAGCGTTGTCTGCGACGCATTAATTTTAAACAATTTACCTGCACGGTTGCCCCCTGTGCCACACAGACAGCGATGGGGAAGAAACAAAAAAAAAAAAACAAATGGAAAAACCACATAAGCATTTTATTTTAAAGTCAGAAACTTAACGCATGGCAGTTGCCACAAAGCCTGAACGCCAGCTAACGGTAACGGTAACGTCAGCCTGCAGCTGCAGGCACTTCAATTTCAAAAGCATCTGCTGCTGCTACTCCTGCTGCTACTGCTACTGCTGCGGTGGACATTGCCACTAGCCACTGGCCACTGGCCACTGGGGCAGCAGCAGCTTCTGCAGCTCAAGTTTTCATTTCTCTTTTACGCTTGGCTGCTTTATTTCAATTCCGTTGAAAAAATGTTCTTTTGAATTCCAGAGATTTTCATCCCTGCTCCACAGACAGTCTCCCTGATTCCACGTATCGCTTTAAAGAATAATGCCGCGTCGACTGTCGTTCCATTGTACGTTTAATTCAGCGTTTGATTAGCGCTCTTTCTCTCTGTGTCTGTCTATGCAGCTCGGCAGAAGTAAAAGAAACGGCTTGTTAAACATACGCACCGTTGTGCGCACAGATGAACATTAATATACATTGGCTTACATATGAATTAATAATGAAGTTCTTTGCTGTGGCCGCAATGACCGCATGCAAAATCGCTGCCAGTTCATGATAAACGAACTAACACATAATATTTATGAGCTGCCGTTGATAAAGCAACCATGTGCCAAATGCTGCTTGCCGCTTGCCACATGGCCGCCACAAGCCACAGCTACAATAATAAGCATATTTGCGGTTGCTGCAGTGTTAAAATAATATAAAAATAAATACACCATAATTAAATGCATTTTCTCTACTCAATTTCAAAAAAATTCAACCACGGTAGCTGTTAAAAATTTAAATTCCATTAATAAAAAAATTTTAAAAAACATATAAATAATTTTTTTTAATGTATACAGAAAATAACTCACCTAAATAAGTTACGACGATAAATTGTGTATTAATTGTAGATTAATTAAAGAGTCTAAACCATGAATTACGAAGAAACATTGTGTTTTCAGAGCTTAATGTAGTTTAAATCTAGAGTCCAAGCCATGATAAAAAGTGTATTCCTCATACAAATCAGTTCAATTTAGACAAAGCATATTAAACTCTGTACACATCATTTACGAACAACTACAATAAAAATATCACAAATTATTAGCAACCAGTTTCCCTAGGCAAATGTCGATATATTGTAATGCAATTAACTAGTGAGTGCCACTTAAGAGCAAGGACAACAATTGCGTTTGGTTAGGAATTAAAAACAATGACTAACTGGCTGCAGCGGATGTGCAAATGTTCAAAATATAGGGCAGTTTGCACTTTTTAATTACGATTTTCAATTAAAGTGCGACAGCAGCAGTAGCTGCGGCACACAAAACCAATTTGCAATTGGTAGCTGGCTAAAAATCTCACTAACCCTCTCTCTCTCTCTCTCTCTCTCTCTCTCTTTATATCTCTCTATCCCCTTCTCTGCCTCTGGCTCTTTCTCTCTTTGCATTTGTCGCAAACACAGATATTGCTGTATCCGGAGGAGGGCTGGGCGAGGACTGCCTCATCCAGCTACTGGACCATCACGCCCTGCTGGTGGCAGCCAAATCGTTGTCGCATTGTCGAATGTGCTGGCACGCAACGGCAGGCGACCAAGGCCAGAATGCTGCCCATGGAGCAGCAGGGCTCGCTACTGATTGCCGGACACTTTCGCCGGCCGCCAATAGCGGCAACAGCAACAGCCACCACATCAACAGCAGCAGCAGCAACAACAACAACAGGCACCGCAGCAGCAGCAGCAGCAGCTGGAGTTGGTTCTGGCAGTCGAGGACAGTCAAATTCGAAATCACAGCTGGCGTATAATGATGAGTTTAAACTGTATCTGACATCGAACATCTCGATGGAGGACTACAATATGGGCTACTGTCTAACTGGCTTTGTCGAGCGTCGCTGCCAGCTGACAAACACCTTTCAAATGACACACTTTGCTGTCATCAAGCGGCAATGGCCGCCGCCGTCCAATCTAAGCAACAGCAACAGCAACTCATAGGCAGTCAATGTGATCCTGTGTCCCCATTTTAGTATATATATACATATATATACATATATATAGTACATATACGTATTACAATTTGTCGGCTGAGTGTATTTTGTATTCTCTAAGCATAGCCTTTAAGTAGCGCAATTTGCAGAATGCTCTGTGTGCCCACGTGATAGCAGCAAAATAGCATTAAGCAAAAAGCTTAGCATACTTTTCAGCGCGCGCTCCAAAAATCTCAATAAAAATACATGTTTGTATGAAAATTGTTGAAACTGCGCAATGCTGAGAAATTTTTGTCACATTTTCTCTATTATTTTTGTTATCAAAAAAACAAATTTCTATGTGTGTATTAGTAAGTAATTTGTAATTTTAACTAAATGCTCTAAACGTGCTTAATTCGTGTGCTTTCGATGTTGTATAAACAACGAAAACGAAAATGGGAAAACAAGAAATAACATTTTAAAAACGTACACAGTTCAAAATAAAAACAAAATATGTAAACGAACTGAAAACTTCGGCATGCTGAATATTGAATACCCTTGCAGAAGTCTATATACATATATAAATTCCTATAAATAAATTTCCTCTAAGAATTAAATATGTATTGAAGGAATAGCCAAGCAATTTACTTACTTTGTCTGATTGTTAAAAACCGAAACCATAAAAATGTACTATTTAGTGCTACAATAACCAATAACATCAACACCTGTCATGGATTCGTGACAGTTCCAGTTTGACAACCATTTAAAAGTGCTTTTCAAATTCAATAAAATACAATAATTCTGCCTTGTAGTGACTCGAATAAAAGCAAGTGAACTTTAAACCATTGCTTTTACAACAGTCAAAAAGTGAATATTTGTAAAGAAATCTGATCTGGTTACAGAATTGATGACGCAATCCAAGAACACTCTGCAAGGGTAAACCAAACCCAAAACAAATAACTCCAAAAATACAAAACTACAAAAAACTAGTAGCTGTTAAAAGCTAAATTGCAACTAAACCGCTTTTCTGGCCAACGCACACACACACACACACACACATAAATATACACTTTTAACATACGCACACACACACACACATACAGGCACACACACACACACTGTGAAACACACAACATTTAAGTCCGGGCGCTTGGGCAGCTACTTAATGCTTAAAAAGTGCAACAAATTGAAACTTGTGCTTGTCGAAGCATGTGATTGTGTGCCAAGTAGCGTGTATATGTATTGTATGCTTATGTGTGTGTGTGTGTGTGTGCTGTGCTGTGCGTGCTTGACTGTTTTTCAACTGTTTAAACGGCCATGTTTGCAAGCCTTTAAGCTTAAAATATGCACAGCTCAACAAACAAATTTTTGCTGTTGTTTCCATTAACCAGCATCAGCATCGATTTATGCTGGCATCACATGGCGTTAGGACCAATTTATGTCAGCAGCATCATTTTCACAATTAGTGTACAACTTTTTTAATTATTCATTTATGTTTCTTTTTAACGTAAAACTTAATTTTGTCGACCCTGAACCCTTTGTGTGTAATATGGGTATAATGGATTTGCGTACATGTCTGTAACAAGCAGAAGAAACACCATCGACTCCCATATACATATTCTTCGCCATCAATCAATCAATCAATCATAGCCATGTCCGGTAATCTACCATGTCAGCTATAATAAGAACTAGAAAATTCCCTTTCAGAATATAAGTTCTCTAATTTTAATCGATTTCTGCAAAGCAATAAAATCCACCATTTTAGAGATATGTCTTTCTCATCGGGTATATATTTACCTTGACATCATATTGATTGGTTCAGTGTATATACGAACAGAGCTAATTTACTAACTTTAAAAAATTCACTTTTGAGGGGTTTAATTCTTTATTTTAATTTGTATTCTTTATTTATTCAATTTGTTATTTATTTCTTAATAATTATGTTCAGCAATAATTTGATATTCTGGATATGCTGATTGCTGAATCGGGTTCATAAACAGCTGGTCTCAACTCAACGCTACGTTCTAATCTACAACTAGGCAACACTTACAGCAACATTTCATACATAACATACTATTTCTGTCTCTCTATCTCTGTCTCTCTCTCTCTCTATCTCTCTCTGTCACTTTCTCACTTTTGAGCATAAACCGCAACGTATATCAACAATTCGTCCAATAATTGGAGTCTTTCGGCGCAACAAATGGTGCCCACGCCAAACAAGGCCGGAGCTCCAATTGCCAAACCCTAAGTGTTTAAAAAAACAAATGGTAAACAAGAAAACCAACTTAAACCAAAGCTACTTAAGACAAAAAAAAAATACAAAAAAACTACATATATTTTAAGGACTAGATATTAGTAAGCGAAATCAAAGCAGAAAAACAAAATCAATATTTACAAGCTAGAATTATAATAAAACGTAAAAACTAACAAATAAATATAATATATATATATATATGTATATATATATACTATTTATGCGTGTGTAGGCTTGAAGTGAACTCAAAGTTTTTTGCCATACTTGTATCGGTGTATTTATAAATATATACATATATTATATATATATATATGTATATTCAAGAACTATGTATACAAAAAATAAGCAAATCAATCACTAACATTTTTTGCAGTTGTGCATAGCTCGCTTATAGGCGCTTTTACACGCAGGCGAAATCAAAATCAAAAACCGAAAATGCATAAAAAAATACATAGCAAAACAACATATTTATGCATATTATATACACATATTTTACAAGGCCTATTATAAATGTATAGTTTAGTTGCTTTCAAACACAGCCTGCTCCCCGTAATTGATATTTAAGTATCAGGTACCTGCCAAAAACAAAACAAAAAAAAACCAAAAAAAAACAAGTAAACAAAGAATAAATATTCATAACTGTAAAATGAAATGCCAAAACAAAAAAAAAAACGCAGTTGCAAAGTCCAAGGGCATTTTATTGTATTACTAGGCAAAACACACAAGCAACTAATTATTTTTTTAAATCAACAATTAAAAAGTTTTCTATGTATACAACAAATCCCAAGACACACCAAAACACGAAACATACAAAACACACACACAAGCGTATATTGATGTTGTTGCTGTTTTTCTATGTGTATTTAGAATGAATATGTGTCTATATGTGTGTAGCATATATATTTATCTGCGCTTAGCTTAGGGGTAAACTTCAAGTTGAAAAAATAAGTAATAAAAAAATATATATATTAAAAAAGTATAAGAAAAAAACACTAGAAAAACATGCAAGCCAAAAACACGCAATGAGCTTTTTTTGTAGCAAACGGTAAACAGTAATTATAAACAAATTACTAATTAAATCGATAAGCAGCAGCAAACAAAAACACAGAAACAAAAAATAACAACACTACAATTAGGCCAGCAATTTATGCGAGCCGGGCAAATGGGCTTAAAATTAAAATTAATTCAATAAATTAAGCTTGTATTTAAATAATTACTTAAATGCAAAAAAAAAGAAAAAAGAGTTTATACAATTAATGGAAGAATTGTGTCACGCAATCGGCTGAAATAAAAAACGAACGCGAAAACCAAATGAAAATTAAATTCAAATCGTGCAATGTCTAAAACTAAAAGCATAAATCAACTAAAACCAAATAAAAATCGTAAATCAAATAAACGTCAATATATATTTAATAACTTTAAAATGCTTGTCAGCCTAGGCTAGGCTAGCCAAGTAGTTTAGGCCGCGTTGCAAATGTAGAAAATGCGTGGAATCTAAGAAAAACGGATGCGATTAAAAAAAAATCATAGAAAATAAAGCAAGAAGAAAACTAAGAAAATATTTGTTTTACTTTGACTTGTGGAATTTTTCAGACGTGGCAAAAAAATGGTGAACAGATGAGAAATGTGAGATATTGTATAAAAAACTTGTTTACTTAACAATATATCCTTACTACAAGCAAATTGAGGCGCTTGGACAAGAAGTGTTCAGCATCTAACTACTAAATCAAATAGATTCCTTCAGCGTGCCTATTTTATTTATAAAACCTACAAAGTTTAAGCATTGCATTTATTTTTCCAGACATAGTTTACTTCCATTTTGTGATTTTTATTTTGAATGAATATTAATTCACTTCATATACATAAGATTTAATCTTTAATTGGTTAAAATTCAATTGCTACAAATTAAAAGTTACATTTTGATTCCTGTTCTTTGTTGTACCATTTGCACTGTGTTTAATTAAACCCGTAAAGTTTTTACAGATTTCGATGTGTATATTAATTAAATTGATTTCATTCATCAGCATATTTGATTTCCTTTTCAGCACACTTTCTTTTAGAGAATATAAACAAACTGAAAGGCAAACAGAACCCATTTCCGAATGTAAACCGTTGTCAATTCAATTTACAATTTCTATGGCAGCCGCGGGTTTTATTAATTATATCTGCAATCGCGAAAACTTGCAATTGCAATTGCCATCGCATCTTTTTGTGCATTTTCTTTTTGATTTATTTGTTTCACTTTTTTTGCGCAATTAAATTTATATTTACATGCGATATACGCGAACGATATTTCCATTTCCGACTAGATATATGACACAATTTGCATTTGGCTTTACTTTATTTTTCAGTTTTTTTTAATATATATTTTATCGCATACAGTGTTTGCCTGGATTGTCGCCCATGGGGGACAATGCAATTGCAGTGCTTTTTTTACTCGCATCATTTGTAAAACTATATTTGAATTTTATACGTTTTGTGTGATGAGCTTTGCATGCATTCAAACGGATTGCTCGTAAATTTTTTATTTACATCATATGCAAATGTATAATACATAAAAGACTTTAACATTTTGTTCTATGCAGCGGAATAAATGCCAAAATAGCAATGTGCTACATTTACTGGGAAGCTCGGCTCGCCTCGGCTAGTGCTGCTGATCAAGTCGTAGACAAGTCCTTCAACACGCAAGGGAAACCATATTCCTATAACTGTAAATAGGAACTTTTATTATGCTCTGCTTACTTAAAAAACCTCCCACTTATAGCTTACCTCTTCATTCCCAGCCCCAATATACCAACTTAATTATAATGAAAGCCGTCA